AGGAAATCCTAACTCTGCAGAAATAACTGGGATTAGTTTATAGAGAAGTCTGGATTAGCAGGATAATGAGTGATTGACTGAATGAATGAAGCTGAAAACCAAATGAATGAAGAAGTTTTCAACATGCTAAAGCCTCCAGCTTTCTATGTCAGGCAGAAACTAAAAGGTCAACATCATAAGACTCTTGAATTAATTTGTATTTTTCACTTGTGAGTCTTTGATTTTGAGAATTATAATAATAATTAAAAATCATCCAAACAATAAAATTTTGACTTTTTCAATTTCAACATTTTCTCTGCATTGTTTTGTAAACCTTTGCCGACAGTGGCCATATTACCAAGGTCCAGAAACTGTTTTAGAACCCTGAGTCAGAGTTTATATCACTATCATCAAAATGAAATGCCTTTCTTATTCTGCAGGGCTACCAGATCCCAAAAGGTTGGAGTGTAATGTACAGTATCCGGGACACCCATGAGACTGCAGCAGTCTTCCAGAGCCCGGAGCTGTTTGACCCGGAACGATTCAGCCCAGATCGGGACGAGTGCCGGTCGGCCCGGTTCAGCTACGTGCCGTTCGGTGGCGGAGTGCGGAGCTGCGTAGGGAAAGAACTGGCTCAGATCATCCTAAAGACTCTCGCCGTGGAGCTGATCGGGACTTGCAAATGGACCCTTGCTACAGAGAACTTCCCCAAGATGCAAACAGTGCCAATAGTGCACCCAGTAAACGGGCTGCACGTGCATTTTTCCTACAACTACCAGCTTTAGAGAAAAAAACAGACAAATAGACACTGAGAAACTCAACCAGGGAGGCAGTTTGACCTTTCCTGCTTCTGGGAACTCTCTAGGAAAAGAGAAAATGACCTCGCCAGTCCTGATGGTGCAGTTTAGGCCCCCTTTCATCTGCATGGACATGGGTGGGTGGGGGGTTACTTCATTTCTTCAGTGGTCTGACCCAAACCTAAGAAACTACTCTCTGTTGTAGCACAAGCACATTTTAACCATGTTACATGTTTCCCAGCATTTACTTACCTTTACACACATTTTAAGTTATTAAAATATGAAAATTTGCAACATTTTTCCTGCTAGTTTTCAAACAGGAGATTAAGTTTTGCTGTCATGAGTGGACCGCATGTCACTAGCAATAGTTTCTATCCAGAGGACAAACAGTTATTCAGGGACTCTTAAACCCTCCCTTCACACTACTTTAATAATCTTTTACCAGTATATTTTCTATATATCCAGTTTCAGGGATGTTTCTTTCCACTCAAATCCAGTCAAACAAACACGTGGCGTCATGATTTTCTGCTGCCTGTCTTTCCTGTTGCACTCTGCCTGGGCATCTTCGCCTTTCTGCACTCCTTCCTGGTAAAATAAGCTTTTTACATCATCACTATGGACATATCCAAGTGCTACGTACTGTATATCTGCTAGCTTATATTTAGAACTTTGCCTTTGTTCACTTCTTAGGACTTCATGTTGCCTCTGAAGTGCCTCTGAGCATGGCACTGGCTGCGAGGCAGCTCCACGTGGAGAAGCTTTGAAATGTGACAGTTTGATTAAGGCTGAAATGTGATTTTCTGTAATAGAACCATGTCTGAATGCGCATAATGGACACTGGAGAGACCGGATGTGTGAGGCTGAACCGACAACCAGGAACTACCCGAACATAAAGTTAATTTTATACGAATGTTATCTATCCTTAACAGTGCTATTATATGTGTATCAAATGAAGTAGCATTATGAATAAGCTGTATTTAAAATGCCGATGTATCATATCTGTTGTACTTTTACTTTATCTGTAACAATTTATAGATAGAGACACTAACTAGTAAAGCCCATAACGCCTTTATCACTGCTAGAACATAGAAATATTTTATTGTTTAGAGCGGCATATACTGAGAGTAAAGTTATACTTTTTATTATTGTTTTTACTGGTCTAATTCTAGGACTGTCTAATAGATGCGCTGTGAAATCTGAGGTGTGGATGGATTTGTGGAAGGAGATAGCACTTTCTTTGCTTTGAGGAGTCTGTGTAAATTTGTCCTGTTTGTGCGTTCATTGAGTGTATCACATGTAGCTGCTGTACAGTTGATGTAAAGAGTAAATTAGAAGATGCTAAACTAAATTTGTCACAGTTTGTCACATCCTGTGTCTGAGAAGAGGCCAAGAAAGCAGAGGTTTGACCCAACACGACTGTAGCTTATTCAACGTAAACTTCAAAGTAAAACTAAAGAAAAAAACGTTCAGTTAGACTTCTGGTCAAATTTGAGCATCAAAAGGTGTCGGTATCTATGCTAATCAAGGTTGAGATGTCTACATTGTGATCATGAGTCTTCATAAAGTGTGTTTGAAATGTGATCCCTAATACGACCTTTCTAAAATCCTCAAATATAGCCCTTCACTACTTTTTAAAATTATAAATCAGAAAACTAAAACTAAATGCAATTTTTGAATTCAAATAAAAGCAAGCAAACTCACTCTGGAGACAGCCTTCAGCCAATGTAGAGGTCCCAGATACTGCAGTTCCTCTAATGGCCACTTGAGGCTCACTTAAAAAAGTGAGTCCATCCCATTAAAGGCCATTTTACACCCAGTGGGCAGTGCCTCGTGATCGGCAGCAAACGACACAGCTGTTGCTAGTTGGCTTCTGCTGGTCGTCCACCTCTCGACTTTTGTAACCTGGTGTGTGATGTCACTGCTGCTGCAGCTGTAAATAGTGTGTTTTAATGATTTATCAGTACAGTAGGTCAGAGATTCACAGATTATACAGAAAGAGATGTTGCAACAGTTTAAAGTTATTACTTCTTCTCCTGTATCTGAACTGATGTGGCGGTTTTTGCCTGAGTGGCGACACCTATCGTCCAGGAGAATACAGCAGAATACCTGCGCTGTAACGTTAGCATAAATGGATCTGTGTGACGTTAGTGGTAGTGCATGAAGCGACCAATGTGGCGAGCATACACGGCCCTTAAAAGCAGGCTGTAGCTTCCAGGTGTGAAAAGTGGTCAATGCAAATGTGCCTGAGATCTGCATTGTTTTTAATGGCCACCAGGGGGCGACATCTGTGGTTGCAAGAAAGACCTTTGGCCCTATGGAAGTTTATGTCTAATTGATGCTCTGCCTAAAGTTGTGCATTATTAGTAATGCTTCTTGTTTCAGTTACTGAATAATTAATCATAGACTGCTATACAAACACAGCTGTTTATTTTAATCTGAGAAGTCGCCTCCTGGTGGTAATTAAAGGGAGCGTCGACTGAACCATACCAGCTTCACATTTCATACCTGGAAACTATGTCCATCTGTGAAAAACATTTGAGGCAGTGAAAACTCGGCTAAAGTCCAGAATTCTGATTTTTCTCATTTTTATGTTGACTGAAATTTTAAAAGTTCTAGATTAAGTTTGGTTTTCACTTCTGTTCAAACCGTTAGACTTTATTTCAGTTTTCACAAAATCATTCATGAAACCGTGAACTCATCATCATATTCCTAAACCTGGACAAAGTCATGTAACCCAAACAGTTGCTGCACACCATTCCACTTGCGTGAGTTGTATAATGCTTGACAGTCAGGTTGTGTTGCATTGTCTTGTGTTTTGCTGCATCCCCACTCTGGTTCCCATGCACCCTCCCATCAGCTGACCGGTCACTGACCTGTGCAGCCGGTGGCACTGGCGTGAACCCTGGTTCAAAATGTCGCCAAGTTCACAGTGACCGAGCGTCAACCAGATAACGACCTTGGCAGGGCTACAGGGCCCTGCAGCGGACACAAATAGGCCAGGCTGTTTGTGTCCCATTAATTTTCTGCCACATAGCTTCACTCTGTTCTCGGCCTGTCAGCGAGGGTTGGAAGTGCCTGATGGGCACCGCAAAGTGACCTCAGAGGTGATCTCACTTTCATGTTTTAGGGCATGAGATGACGATATGAAGTGGAAAATATTGAACTACCAAATGTTTCTACAGTTTAAGTAGCTGAAGGGTGAGAGGGAGTTTCAAATCATCCAACAAAGGAATTCTGAGGTGGGAGAGTCGCAGTTATAAAACAAAATGACAGAATTTAATGTCTCTATATAAAGACTTACATGCCGATATAACCCAACTAGTTCTGAATATATTGTATAGGAAGTTTTATATTTTTGGTCAAAGCCTTTATATTATTCATTGGTTTTAAGTTCTTGAATTTATCACAACACTGGTATCCAATTTGTCATTTTGGAGTAACCAAACTGGAGCTGCAGATACTCCTTTTTTCCCCCTGACCTACCAATCTGTTGAACTGGCCCAGTCATACAAAGAGACTGGAAACCTGCGCTCACTGGGGATAAATACGTATCAGCCAACTAGTTGGCGAGTGGTAGCTGGAGGTTGCTGGGAGCAATTGCAAAGACGATACTGCACCAAAAACCTTTTGGTGATTGCTTTGGTCATTAGCAGATTGTTGGACGCAGAGTTCTCTTCGAACACTCGCTCGCTAACGACCAAGAAGTAGTGAAAGAACTTTTTCCTCCAAAATAAAAGTTGTGCCTTACTGCTGAAACCACTGCCATAGAGAGAGTGTTTGGAGACAAGTTTCAATTTAAATTTTTCAATTTAATTTTATTTACACAGCACCAAATCACAACAATAGTCGCCTCAAGGCGCTTTACATTGCAAGGTAGACCCTACAATAATAGATACAGAGAAAATCAACAATTATATGACCCCCTATGAGCAGCACTTTGGCGACAGTGGGAAGGAAAAACTCCCTTTTAACAGGAACAAGCTTCCGGCAGAACCAGGCTCAGGGAGGGGCGGGGCCATCTGCTGCGACTGGTTGGGGTGAGAGAAGGAAGACAAGTTTGTGTCTTCCAATCTGCTACTAACCAAAGCAGTCACAACGTTTCCTCTGTAGCATCATATAACTCTTTGAGACCAGTTTCACTCAGCAACTGGCAGTAAACTCTCACCAGTGCAAGACAGATTTTTCTCTTGGACACTAATTACCACGGGGTCTCTACGCCTGTGTGACTGATGCCTAAGAAGCAGCAGAAATCAAACATTTTCTGTCAGCCAATCATGTGGAACTATGACTACACACTTCTCACACATGCATATCTGGTGTCTCAGTAATGTGGTTTACAAGTGAAAGATTCCTGCTTTGATCCCAGGAGCAGACACACAAATCCCTTTAGGGTTGCATGAGGAAGGGCATCCAGCTTAAAAACTCAAAACATTGCTACACCCACTGTGGTTACCCCCCTGTGAATAAGGGAGCGGCTTTGACTTTTCATGTGCATTTCTCTGTCATCGCCAGCTTGTCTTCAAATGACAGGTTCTTGATCAGAGTCTGCTCCATGTTCTTATTTTATATCCACACTTTTGAAGCTGCAGCACCTAAACTGTGGGACAGCCTTCCTCAGTCCTTCAGGCCGGCTGAGTAAGTCCTTCATCATTTCTTAGGTCAAATCTAATTTTTATTTGTTAGCTTAATTTGTAACTTGTTTGTTACTGTGTAACAAAATTCTTTAAAAAGTAATTTTAGGAGGAGATTTCTCGCTGTCAAGGGGAGTTCGTTCCCTCACAGTCATCATGTGGACATTGTTGGGTGTGTACTACAGTAGGGTCTGAAACTTACAAAATGAAGCACCTGGTCCGAACTGAAACTTATAAATGACATTGAACTGAAGTTAGAAATCTGGAGTCCGTGAAATATAATTGACAAGGTTTATAAATATAATTTTCAGGAGGATGAGAATTGCCAACTGGCCAACACGTTCTCACTCCCAAAGCGTAAAATTTTAAGCTAGGTGACAAATCGTCAACATATTACGTTTTCGGCTACCCACCACGTTCCTAAATGACGACCTCGGAAAAATGAGGAAATATGAGAACCATATGGACTCAATCTACACATGTTCGCTCTTTTTCTTCAAATCACTTAGAAACACGCTATTTAACATCATTAAAGTCCTGGTTAAGATCAGGAAAAAGGTTATGGTTAGGGCTAGGGATAAGGTTAGGTTTAGGGCTGGAACGTCTATTACCGCGGGAGCGTCATTGCACTGGATTTCGGCCATAACCCGCCGCGTACCATAAGAACGCCGAAGGTCTCCTTTTGTGTTCCTCAGGAACGCCGCGGGATGTGACAAAACGTCGGCATGGTGAGATACCCACAGGCGCCCCTGCAACTGGCAGGGGCGCCTCCAGAATTTCTTCATAGGGGTGGCACACCAAAAACAGAATTTTTAGTTTCATTATGCTGCTGTAAAACACAGGTTACTGAGGGGTTTGGCTTAGTTAGAGTGGGTAGTCACTCTAACTAAGACCATTATTACCCATCACTATCAGCTTCTTATTGGGGGTTTACTTACCCACAGAGGGCACATATAAGGGCCACTGAGATTAAAGTGTTGAAGCTCTTTTCATCTTCTTGCTCAAAAACATTCTTTTCTTTCTTTGTGAAGGCTTCAGAAGATTTTGTTTGCAGAAAAAATAAAGATAAAACTGCATGACAGTCGCACTGCTGACTCACCACGTGCGTCAGCGTCTTCTCTTCATGCATCCTATGAAATCTTTTATAGCTCAGAGGAGGCGAAAAAATCTTTCTGCTGCAGAATTTTTAGTCTCAGTGCCTCCTCAGCCTTCTCGTCCTCCTTCTTTTATTTGTGTGCGTTCTGGTTCAAAGGCAGTTCTTGGGCAAGATAAGGGACACCCATTTGCAAAATGAGGGGGAAAACGGGGTCAGATGTAGACTTGGATAGAGTGATTGGTGGCCAAGATCAGCTCCTCGCATGTGTTTTCTTTAAGTCTATTTTAATCTCTGCTGCTGCTGCTGTCACAGAAAAAACCACAATGCAACATGCAAGCTCGGTGGTTTGGTGTACATCGCCATTGATGTGCTGAGTCAGTTTCCACAGACTCTGCAGGCTCTATTGTGTGACTTTGGGAATAAAAATGGACTGAAGTTAGAATCTGGCCACTGTGGAAGATCACCGGGAGTTCATCCATCCTGAGCCAGCACAGAAACGTGACTGTTTTAAAGTTGTGGTAAAAATATCCATCCAGTGTATACGACATTTGCTTCTTTAGTTTAAAGACTGCTACACAAACAAGTCTTCAACTGACAGGGAGTTTGTTCCATCCTTGCAGG